CTTCTTGTATTTGTTCTATGAGGTGCTTGTTATCTGAACATAAAAATCTTTCACAAAAGTGTTCACTATCCGACTTGTTCACAGTCCAAACTGTTCATTAACCAATCACCCACTGTATGTCCATTTTAAACTTTAATGTGTTTATTGAGTTATTTCCTTTTGTGATTTATTTTCACAGTATCATCACACCTTTAATGCTGAAATTAGGACAACAAAACTATTAATGATTTCAAAAGTTTGTTTTGCTAGTTTTAGAACATTGACTGAAATAATTGCTTACATTATATGTTCTTCATCTTTGCCTTTTCCCATGTTTATATGGGGTCAACGTTTCCTTCTCTAATACGTTTTTTCCATTTCTCTCTATCAAGGGCTTCTTTTCTCTTAAGTCCTTCTGGTTCAAATCTTCTTCCACCTTATCTTTCCAATGCATCTTTGGTCTTCCTCTTTTCCTCTTTCCCTTTACTACCAGTTTTCCAATCTTCTTTTCAACATAATTGTCACTTTTTTGCTCTATGTGGTGGCCAAACCACCTTAACAAAACCTCTGATAAAATCATTCCTTATTCTATCCTTCCTTGACACTCCACACATCCATCTCAACATTCTCATCTCTGGCACCTCCATCTTTCTTTCTTGGGCTCTTGTTATTGCCCATATCTCAGCTCCATATAACATTGCAGGTCTAACAACTGATTTATACAATTTTCCTTTCAGATTGCAGCTAACTTTCTTGCCACAAAACACACCACTCAGCTTCCTCCAGTTCATCCATTCACATTGAATTCTATGCTGCACCTCTGAGTTCAATCCTCCTCCCATCTTGACAAATGTCCCAAGATATTAAAACTTTGAACAAAATGGAACGGCACATTTTGGATTTTAATATTACACTCATCTCTACCATTCAGAGTCATATAAGCTGTTTTAGTTCTGCTAATCTTCATGCCTCTTTCTTCCAAAACTTTCCTCCAATCTTCCAGTTTCTTCTCAGCCTTGGTTTGGAAAACTTCACACAGCACAATATCACCCACAAACAGCATACTCCATGGAGCCTCACACTTCATGTAACACACCAACACATCCATTATCAGATCAAATAAATAAGGGCTAAGGACCACTCTCTAATGCAAACCAACATTAACAAAGAACCCTTCTGTAGTGCCCACACTGCTCTTAACTTGGATCTCTGCTCCCTCGTACATTTCCTTGATGAGCCCAACATATTTTTCTGGAACATTCTTTTCCCTCAAACATCTCCATATCTCTTGCCTTGGTACTCTATCATATGCCTTTTCCAGATCTATGAACACCATGTGCAAATCTTCCTGCATTTCCCTGTGTCTTTCCATCAGCTGTTTTAGAGCAAAGATAGCATCAGTCGTACTCCTTCCCAGCAAAAAGCCAAACTGTTCCTCTCCAATCTCAGATTCCTGCCTAATCCCTTCTTTCTACAATTTTCTCCAAATTTTCATAGTATGGGATAATATCTTTATATCTCTGTAATTTCTGCAATTCTGTACATCCCCTTTACCTTTAAAGATTGGCACAAGAATGTTCTTCCTCCATTCAGCTGGGATCTTCTCTTGCTGCCAGAGTTTCTTCATAAGGTCCCAGAGGATATCAATTCCCTCTTTACCCAAACCTCTCCAAACCTCAACTGGAATCTGATCAGTGCCTACTGCTTTCCCCATCTTCATTTTCCTAAGCACACTTCCCACTTCTTCTCTGCTAATATCTTGCACCACTCCTTCATTTGCCTCTCCTCTCTCGTATAAAGTTCTGGGGCTTACTTCATTCAATAAATTCCTAAAATATACTTTCCATCTTTCTTGACCCTTTCGTAATCTTGTAATACTTCTCCTTTATCATCTTTAATCAGTTTAATAGAGGTAAAATCTTATCTCTTGCTTTGGCAATTCTCATGAACTGCCTTTCACCACCTTTCATTTCAAAACTTTATAAGCCTCTTCTAAAGCCTTTGCTTTTGCAATAGCCACTGCCTTTTTAGTCATTTTATTTGCCAAATGCCTTCCCCCTTTTCTTTGCCTCTTTCTTTTGTTTAACTGCAGCTTGTACTTCAGCATTCCACCACCAAACTTCCTTTCCTTCTGGCAATCTCTTCCCTGAAGTTTTTTCCAAAACCTCTTCTCCAACTTTCAAAATGCAATTACTATTAAGCAACCACCATGTTTGCACATCATCTAGGAACTGGATTTCTTTTAACACTTTTACCTTAAACTCTTTCCTTAATTCCTCCTCTTTCAATCTCCACCATTTGATCATTTGTTCAATCTGGCTAACACAATTCTTACAATGGCCCATAAGAAAGTCACAATCCACCAGAAGAACTCTATGTTGTGCAGCAACACTTTCTCCATTTTACACCTTACTGTTTCTCACTTCTCTCAAATGTCTCCTACAGCACAAGAAAAAATCAATCTGGCTGGATCTACCTCCACTCATGTATATAACCAGTTGGTTCGCTTTCTTCTCAAAGTAGATGTTAACATCTACTTTGAGAAGTAAATGTTGTAGATGCCACAGCATGATCAACTAGTCTTTTTCCCTCTCCATTCCTTTCTCCACACTCCACCAATGTCCAATTTAATGCTCATAATTCTATCACACCTTCATTTAACCTCACAGACTCTGTCTTTTAAAACTTTATCAATTACTATATCAACATATATAAACAAATATCAGCTAACACGATAAACATTAAAGCAACCAAAGCCGAATTAATGGGCTAAAAGCAGCTGTAATAATAATAATTTAAGATAAATTATCTTAAATTATTATTATTATTATTACAGCTGCTTCTAGCCCATAAATTCAGCTTTGGTTGCTTTTATGATATCAACTCCATTCTTTCCTCCCTTATTTGCTCCACTCACAAACAGCTTGTACCCTTCACCAAGTTCTTTAGCTTTATTTCCTTTCCATCTTGTCTCTTGTAGGCACAAAATGTTCACTCTCCTTCTTTGCATAAGATCAACCAACTCTCTACTCTTCCCATTCAATGTTCTGATGTTTAAAGTACCTATTCTTATACTTGTCTTCTTCCTCTTCTCTTTCTGGACTAACTTCTTTATCCGAACCTGTCCTTGATTCGGTAGCCCCATCTCATTTGACATAGTTTTCGAACGACATGACTGCGTATCACTTCGGGGGACATCCTAACACAGTTATAACTTACTTGTAGTCTAGCAGACATTCCATGTAGCTTACGCTATATATGTTACATAGTAAAAAAGAAAAAAACTTGAATGGACTAATATGACTACACATGTACAAACATCATATACATATACAAAACCTGATATATCAGTAATAAGCCAATCAACTATCAGATTACATTGGGCTACTTTTCTGCAATTATTCACCTAAATGCCTCCCTCTAGTGACAAATTATTTAAAATTAATTAAAAATAATCACTGAAAAGAAGCCTGATGTAATCCTGTAGTTGTTTGGCTTATGATTACACATAATAAAATTGTCAAAATTTTTATAAATAATGTTTTAATTTTAATGTATAAAATACTATTATCATATGAACAAATATTCAGTTGATCACTATAATCTATTCTATATTGTTAATAATTTATATACCCATCATATGATTTATTAGATTCAAGCTAATTAATAAAACTAAATTTAAATTTTCTCTAGTTACAGAACAACTTAAAGGAAAAAACTGTATACATCACTGATTCTGAAATTTATTCAATCTGTCAACTATTTAAACCGAGTCAAATAAACCAAACCCACCTATTTCCCCATTCACTTATCCTGAAAATATTACCTTGTGTACAATATTTTGTCTATCCAGCAACTTAATGTGAGAAAGAAGTTCTGTGATGTGTAAAAGTGTTCTTTCCTCTTACTAAACACATAAAATTGCATTTTAGAAAATAATTAGATTAATCTAAGAACTACTTGAGCCGTGTTCAGTAGTGCAGAATTTCTGCTAAGTTTAGCTGTGCTAATTAGTTCCGTCAGCTTGTTTTTGTTCACGCTATAGTAACTTCTACTAATGACATCATTGTTTTTGTCTTGTCATGTGATATATACACAAAAAAAGCACTGTATATGTACACAGCATTTTTTTTGTCATAGAACACAATGGAACGGCATTCCACCATCTTTTTTCGATATATTTTAAAAGTTTTAAGAGAATTTTTGAAAATTTGATGATTGATCCACGTTGAATCACTCTGTTGAGCATAGAAGATTGGCAATAAAATTATTAAGACACTTTTGCTCGTGTGCCGAATCTTGTGTATGATGCATGTAATATATTTTTAGTAATGAGATAAGCGTTCCACCACCTTTTTTTTCCTTAAAAAAGCACTGTATATATATATATATATATATATATTGTAATAATCATAAAATTATAGCTTGCAACAGTCTATAGATCAAACTTTAAGATCACTGGATACATTATATAATTTTTACTAAAAATAATATATAACTTTGATAGATTTAATTATATCTTTTATCACCTTTAATAAAAAATGATTATTAAATATGTTACTGATCAAACCAAATTTTCAAGAATCAACATGAATATGAAAAGTTATTAGAAGCAATATTTTATACACTCACTCAGTACTTATTTATTTTAAATTATAAATTTACTTGTAAATCAAGTTTTAAAATAATCAAATTAATATTTCAATTATTTTTTACATATAAAATTACAAAAATGTAAATTTTTATTTTTGCACTTAATTAACATACAATACAATCTTAAAATTTATATGTAAAAAATTTATTTAGAAAGTGTACAAGTTTAGCTAATTTTTTAAATTTACAATTCTAATCTAAAAAAAACTATTTTTAATATTCAAAGTATTTATCTATTAAAAAAAACGAAATTCAATTAACAATCCGAATCGATTTTTCTAATTTACTGAAAATTCTTTAACTGTATCGTATGTATATACAGTTTATAAATTTTTAAAGATTATTTCTGTATAGTGATAAACACTAACTTGTTTTTGGTCATCCGTCAAGCCAAATACATTATCATTGATTGGATACGTACTGCAGGAACGTATGCTTTTAATTTTACTAGCATTGCTCCTTATATTTTTATATATATTACTTCGCAAAACATAGTTAAACTTTTGAAGATGAAACATGTCTTTACTTCTCTACTTATGGGGGGCCTTTACCTTTGATTGTATATTTCTCCGTTTTCTCAATAACACGTGTATTGTCACGTGGTTATTGGAAAAAATCCTATCATCAAAAATTACATAATTTTATTAAAACTTTTACAGTTATGTATATTACATTTATTGAATTATTGTTATCAAACATATAAAGAAAAATATTTTAATTTTTATTGTCGGATTTTTGGCGTTATTACTTTTTATTGATGTTGGCAATAACAAAGGCACGTGACTTAAGATGGCGGTTTACATGTGTTTAAAACGTGAGTAATAAAACCGAAGAGAACAAAAACTAATTAGACGTATAAAAGTTAGTTTATTAAGTTTTATAAAAATCTCATTATCCATGAATTCTAGTCAGAGAGTTTTATCTAGGACTATTTATTATAAATATTGCAAAAGGACAAAATTTCGAGGTTTCGGCATATTTCAAGATTATTGTAGAAGGGAATTTAAAACAAGTGAATGGCATTACGCTAAAAGAAAAATACAGCCAGAAGATCTTCCGGTTTTTCAGTATGCAACATCTAAAAGTAAACGAGCTATAAGAGTATATGTATGGGGACACGCAGTTTCTGGTTGCTTGGGTATTCCGACTTTTCTAAGACCACCACCAGGTCGTCACAGACAATTAGTAAACCACAAACCTACAAAATTAACTTTTGCAGAAATTTATAAAGTTTTTGACGTTTCTTGTGGTCATGGATTCACAGTGTTTGCAGTAAAATCAAACTTAACAGAAGAGAAACTGTTTGGAACTGGACTAAATACTTATACACAAATTGGTTACCAGGTTGTTAGAAAAGATCATCCACTCTCTCTTATTATACAACCAGTTCCAATCAATTTGCCATTATTACCGAAAACAAAAATTATCAATATTGCTTGTGGTCATGCTCACACTATAGTTGTGACTGACAAAGAAGGTATATTTTCCCTTGGAAACAATGAATTTGGACAATGTGGTTATCCAATTGTAGAGAATGAAATATACTTTGGAAAGAAGCAGATAAATAAAGTCCGTGGTGTTGATAATATTACTAGTGCTGTGTGTGGAGAAGATCAAACAATATTTTTAAATTCCAAAGGTGAAGTATTTGGTTGTGGTTTAGGAAATAAAGGACAGACAGGTCTTGGTCATTATCAAAACACAGGTGTTCCAACACAATTAAAAGGTGATATTGAAGGAGAGAAAATTGTTCATGTTTCTGGAGCATCTAATACTATGTTGGCCATTTCTGAAAATGGTGATCTATTTGGTTGGGGAAATTCAGAATTTGGACAGCTGAAAGTGACAAAATGTGATGAAAATTTCTTAAATGTACCAAGACATATACCTCTTCCATCTATTGGCAAAGTAATTTGTGCAGCTGCTGGTAAAAGTATGTGTGCTATAGTAAATGAACAGGGAAAACTTTATGTATGGGGTTGTGGTTTATTAGGAAAAGGACCACAAGTATCTTTTCTTGATATTCCAACTCTTTTACCTGATGCACTCTTTGGAAAAAATGAATTCAATCCTGACAGCAAAGTAAAAAGTGTATCTAGTGGATTATATCATTTTGCTGCTGTTACAAATCAAGGACATTTATACATGTGGGGAGAAAATCGAGGAGCATGTCTTGGACTTGGTCATAGAAATGATCAGTACTTTCCTTTTAGAGTATCTGTTCCTGCAGAAGTATTGAAAATAAGCTGTGGCATTGATCATAATGCTGTACTTTGTAGATCATTTTGTTAAATAACTTAATAAACAAAATTATGGTATTTATGTTTTAATATATATTTTAATATATATATATAT